TGTTCAATATTGCTGTTAATGTGTATGATGTTCTCCTGGTTCTGCTCACTTCACTTTGCATCAGTTCATGTAAGTCTTTCCAGATTTTTCTGAAAGCATTTCTTATAGCATAATATTCCACTACAATAATATATGACAACTTATTCAGCTATTCCCCAGTTGATGGAAATCCCCTCAATTTCTAATTATCTGCCACTGTAAAAAGCTGCTATAACTTTTTTTGTACAATAGGTCCTCTTCCCCCCCACCGTCTCCTTTTTAAAAAAATTCTCTTTGGGATACAGACCTAGTACAGCAGAGGTTCCCAAACTTATTTGGCATACTGTCCCCTTTAAAAAAAAAATTACCCAGCACCGCCCCCCGACCCCCCCCCCCCGTTTGGAAATCTACTTTCTTTAATGCTGTAATGGTTTTTTAATTTGCATAATTTCAAAAAATATATTTTTAAAATGGTGCATCTTAAATTTATTGTAAATTTCTGAGTTTTTTTACATTGAAATTTTGTTGATGTAATATTGTGTCATGTAACCATATAGTATTATATTGTAAACAAGTCATTACACACACATATTCCTGCTGATGCATGTTGGATTTCCCAACAATGCGAGACAAGCTTACCTGCCAACACTTACTTGTTAAGACTTGTTGGTGGACTTGACCACTGATCAGTTATAACTTGCATTTTGTGTGTTTGGAAAATAATATAATCACTATGATTTTAACACTGATACACAATAGGTGAAACATGTACAAATGGTTTTTCAAATTTTTATCTTCTTTTCTTTTGCTTCCACCACCCTGTTATTTTTATTCAATTGCACTCTAGGCGACTACAACCCCCCCATTGTTCCAGTGCCCCCCAAGGAGTGGTATCACTCACTTTGGGAAGCTCTAAGTAGAGGTATTACTGGGTCAAAGGGTATGCCATTTCATAGCCCTTTGGACATAGTTCCAAAGTGCTCTCCAGAATGGTTGGATCAGTTCACAATTCCAGCAACAGTGCATTAGTGTCCCAATTTTCCCCACATCATCTCCAACACTTGTCATTTTCCTTTTCTCACATAAGTATGTGTGAGGTAGTACTTCAGAATTATTTCAATTTGATTTCTCTAAATGTAATGATTGAGCATTTCCCCCCATGATTATAAATAGCTTTGGTTTTTTCATCTGAAAACTGCCTGTTCATATCCTTTGACCATTTAACAATTGGGGAATGACTTGAATTCTTATAAATTTGACTCAGTTCTCTAAATATTTGAGAAATAAGGCTTTTATCAGACACATTTGCTGTAGAATATTTTCCCCCACCTTTTTGCTTTCCTTCTAATCTTGGCTGCATTGGTTTTGTTTGTGCAAAACCTTTTAAAATTTAATATAATCAAAATTATGCATTTTACATCTTGTAATGCTGTCTTGGTCATCAATCCTTCCCTTATCCATCCATAGATCTGACAGGTAAACTATTCCATGCTCCCTGAATTTGCCCATGGTATCACCCTTTGCCTAAATCACCTATCCATTTTGACCTTATCTTGGTACATGGTGTGAGACGTTAATCTATACCTAATTTCTGCCAAACTGTTTTCCAGTTTTCTCAGTTTTTGTCAGATAGTGAGTTCTTGTCCCAAGGGCTTGGATCTTTGGGTTTATCAAACAGTAGATTACTAATGGTCAATTACTATTGTGTATTGTGCACATGGTTCCTCTTGTAAAGACAAAAAGCTAAACTGTAAAAATGTTTACTACTGCCATTTTTTTCTCAACAATGGAGTTACGATATTCATTTTTGTTGGCATATAGGTCTCCTTCAGCAGTCTTTTGGTGTGAAATAATACTTAATTTTTCTCATCTACTATCTGTGGGTCTGTCCTGGTCCCTCTTCTTTTCCCTATCTTGCTTGGTGAGTTTACCAGTTCACATGGGTCCAATTGTCTCTTGTATAGATTACATACCCAGATCTATATATATCTAGTCCTAATCTCCCACTTGAGCTACAGTCTTAAATCACCAACTGCCTCTTAGATATGTCATGGTGAATTCCCCAAAGCAGCTCAAGTACCTGTAAAGATTTTCTTTCCTTTCCAAACCTTCCCATTTCCTCAACTTTCTAGTTACCTTTTAAAGCACCATCATCGAAAGAATTAGAAATTGAGGGGATGCCCATCAATTGGAGAATGGCTGAACAAATTGTGGCATATGAATGTAATGGAATACTATTGTGCTATAAGAAATGATGAGCAAGCAGATTTCAGAAAAACCTGGACTTACAGGAACTGATGCTGAATGAAGTGAGCACAACAAAGAGAACACTGCACACAGTTAACAGCAACACTATGCAACTGTCAACTCTGATAGACTTAGCTCTTCTCAGCTATACAATGATCTCAGGCAATTCCAAAAGACGGAAGATGCTATCCATATCCAGAGAAAGCACTGAGTCTGAATGCAGATCAAAGCATACTAATTTTTTTTCTTTCTTAAGGTTCTTCCCTTTTGTTCTGATTCTTCCTTCACAACATGACTAACATGGAAATATGTCTAATAGGATTGTACGTGTATAGCCTGTGTCAGATGATATGCTGTCTTGCAGAGGGAGGAAGGAGAAAAAAAATTGGAACTAAAAAACCTTATAAAAGTGAATGTTGAAATGGGGGAAGGCAAGAGGGAAGGAGTGACTCTTATTCTCATAGGATTTGGCTTAAGGAGGGAATAACATACACATTCAATTGGGTATGGAAATCTGTCTTACCCTACAGTAATATAAAGGGAGAAGGGGACAAGAGAGCAGGGGGGATGATAGGGCACACTGGGAAAGGGGGTAATTAGAAGCAAATACTTCTGAGGAGGGACAGGGTCAAAAGAAAGAATAAACGGGGGGCAGGATAGGATTAAGGGAAATAGTTTTTCACAGCTTGTCTACTATGGAAGGTTTTTGCATAACTGCACATGTATAACCTATACTGAGTTGCTTGCCTTTTCAATGAGGATGGGTGGGGAGGGAGGGGAGAAAATTTGGAACCTAAAGTTTTAAAAACACATTTTAAAAAAATGTTTTCACATGCAACTGGGAAATAAGAAATACAGGAAATGGGGTACAGAAGTCTATTCTGCCCTACAGGAAAATAGAAGGGGAAGGGGATAAGAGAAGAGGGGCAGAGATAGAAGAGAGGGCAGACTAGGGGAAGGGGTATTCAGAATGCATGCCATCTTGGGGTGGGGGAAGGGGCAAGATGGGGTGAAAATTTGGAACTCAAAATCTTGTGGAAGTACAAAATAAATTAATATTTAAAAATAAAAATTTTTTAAAAAGTGAATTTGGGGGCAGCTAAGTAGCACAGTGGATAAAGCAACAGCCCTGGAGTCAGGAGGACCCAAGTTCAAATCCGACCTCAGACACATAACACTTACTAGCTATGTGACCCTCGGCAAGTCACTTAACCCCATTGCCTAGCCAAAAAAAAAAAAGTGACTGTTGGAAACTATCTTTACATGTAATTGAAAAAAAGAAATACTATTGTTTCAGGAGCACCATCTTCCCATTCACCCAGGTCCATAACCTGTCATCCTTGACTCATTTGCACTCACCCCATATAACAAATCTGTCCAATTGTTTTTAACTTTCACATCGCTAATCTCTTTTCCACTCATACGACTACCACCCCTTGTATGGACTTCTCACTTCTACTATTAGAATAACCCTACTTAGCCTTCTACCTGTTTTCATAAGGCCTATGAAAGGTAAGAAATTTTAACATTTTCAAATAATTTTCCTGTATTTAAGAACGTAAAAACCCAATTCTTAGCTCGCAGGCTGTACAAAAATGGACCAGTGGGGCTGGAGGAATTTGCTCCCATTCCAATCTGTCTTCCACACAGGTCATTGCCTCATTTAGTAAACTCCGGTGGCTCCCTATTGCCTTCCTGGATTGAATAACATAACTACCCCATTCGGCATTTAAAGAGCTTAACAATCCTTTTGTATATACATAGGCTACCCCCCCCCCCCCAAACTTTAGACTCCTAGCTTCAAGGCTCAGCCCAAATCCCACATACTACAAGTTTACCTAGTTCTAGGCCGCAAGTCACTTTTGTCTAATTTTATCTTTCAGGTATATAAGTACTTGCATATTGTCTCCATTAGAATGAACTGCTTGAGTAGACTGTTTTTGCCTCACTTTGTATCCCCAGTGCTTAGTACAGTGCCTAACACCCAATAAGCACTTAATGACTGACATCTTGAGAACACTGGAGAGGCCATAACATTTTTTAAAAATCATCACTATACTTTAGTTCTTACAAGCTGATGGGACCATTTAACATTAAAAACCATACACTAATGATAATGGATTTATGCATTGCTAGGATTGAGGGGAGCCTACAAAATGTTGGGCATCATTAGGAAATGCAGCAAAACCCAAAGATCGTCCTATTGTATGAAATAACCATGTGCTTGAGCCTGGAAAACTAGGAAGATACAGTAAGGCTGGAAAAGGGCAACCAAGTATCAGAGGAAGGAACACTCCTTGGAAGGCCTGAAATTTTAATTCTAGGTCTACATGCACAGGGGGAGACTCCTCTACTTAAAGCAAGGATGGGGAGCCTGCAGCCTTGAGGACACATGTGGCCTTCTAGGTCCTTGGGCACAACATTTTGACTGATTCCAAGTTTTATGGAACAAATCCTTTTAAGGGGATTCAGTTAACAGGCCACACTTCAGGACCTAGAGAGCCACATGTGGCCTTAAAGCCAAGATGTGTTTTGGGCAAACCCTTTCACCTCACAGGTGAAGTACCCATTCATATGGCACTTCTTACACAGACAAATGCCAGTTATGGAAACATTTGGCTGACTGCAGGAACGTAGGCCTTGGCAGCCAGATGGAACACTGGGCTGGTTTAGCGCATTTTTTTTTCCACTTTAAAGAAAGCTATATTGGTTATGTGTGGTTATATGGTAGTGTGACATAGTGGATGGAATGTTATACTTGGGAGTCAGAAAACATGCGTTTGAAACAGCTGATGGTAGCCGTAGCCATAACCATGGCAAGTCACAACCTAACCAAACCTCACTTTCCTAAATTTTAAGTTAATTAATCATGATCCTAATCAGGGTTATTAAAGGGCTTAAAAGAAAAAGTGCCTTGCAACTTTTAATAATTATCCAAACTTTTCCAGGGTAGAAATAAATTTTAATCATTGACACAATATTTCAGTTCTACTTAAAAGAAAACCATTGATATTTAATATTGGGACAAACTGAAGAGGAAACAGGCATTCTCAGCAATCCTTCTGAATCTTACCTGACACATTAACGACTAACCTTTATCATCTTGTGACCAATCTCCCATTATTTGCTAGGTAAATTTTAAAGGGGAACACAGCCCTGGGATTTTCCAATTTAACCTTATTAGCGTAAGTTATGCAACTTATCAGGAATATCATTAGTGACTATAATCACTGCTGGAAACGAGTTTTCTTAGGTCCTTAAATAGTACTTTCCACCTATAATAGTTTCAATATTATTAATCACCATCTTTGTTCTTCCACAAACTCTTAGAGCTCCCAAGGTACAAAGCTTTATCCCAGCACCCAGCAAGTACTCTCTACAGAGATGCTTAATGAATGTTTACTAAATTTAATCTCAGGAAAATGTCTCTAAGGCTAGAAATTACAAAACCAAGATCAGTGTAAGTAGGGCAGCATTGGGGGGAAGGGGGATGGACGGATATACTCTTAGAACAACAAATTATCATAAAAGATTTAGGCCAGCCCTAAAGTTAGGTATGTTTTTTTCCCTAGCTTATCAAAATGTACTAACATTCTAAAAATTGCAAACTTTTACATAAGTAGGTGTGATATTCTCAGGAGTGGACAAAAAGGCAAACAAAAGGCTATCACTGGATAGTATGGGTCATTTCATTCTTTACTTTTATCAGTGGCTAACAGTGCCTGGTATGTAGTAAGCACTCAATAAAATATAGGGTGCATGCCTAAAATGGTGTTCCCAAGAAATCAGTGTGGGAGACCTAACCTATATTCAAGCCAACAAACAGCTACTCCACACCTGTGTTTAAATCTGAAGATCAAAGAGGCAACATAGCACATAGAGGAGGGAAGACAGCTGGCCTCAATCCACAGCACCAGGTTCAAGTTTTACCTAAAACATTACTACGATGCTGGGTAAGTCACTTTAATGTCTAGAAATGCTTTTAAGAAAGTGTGTATAGAGCACAGGACTGAGTCAGTAAGACCTGTGTTCAAATCCCACCTCAAGACATTAGTTGTGTGATGCAGAGGAAATCATACTACCTCTTCATTCCCGTTTTCCCATCTGTGAATTCTGGGGCTGGACCTAATGATTTCTAAGTTCCTTATCCATATTGAGAGATTCCTTACACTGAGCTCTGTACAGAAACTCAGCCCCCCCAAACTCAGTCCACTCAGCCCCTCAAAAAATCACCAATCATGAGACACTTGAATTAACGTATGCATTTCTGTAAATCTTGAAACTGGAGCTCTTGTGAAGCACAAAAAAAGCAGATTTGGAACAGATTTTATTTGCTGATAGCTCACTCTCCCCTGCACATAAGCAAGAGTTCACAATACGTAAAGTAACAGTTAACACAAAATCTTGGAGAGGGGGGAAATTAAATCGAACACCCAACATTTTTTATTATACAGCTTTAACTCAAATAACAGATATTTTTAAAGCCCAACAAATTGGAAGATGCTATCTATTCTTTAGGGAAGTAAGAATAGGTAAAGTTTACATTTACATGCACCCGTTTTTTCAGAGAATCTATTGCAAAACTCCAAGGCCATCTATTCCAAACTACTACTGAAAAAGTTTCTAAGCATGTCCTAAAAACATAATTGTTGGTATTCTCTCTACACTATTAAAATAATCATTTATAGAATAGCATGACTACTCACATTTGGCGTCTGATATTCTAAGGAAATCCACAATATTTTAAAGAGGCAATTTATAGGCACCCACACACACACAAATTAAACAATATCATGTGACACATCTAGGCTTAATATTAAAGACCTAGGTACATGAACATATACCTCATCAATAATAAACACACTAATCTCTCTGGATTAAATAGTAGAGAAGTTTTAAATACAACTAAATAGATTTTTTGTACAAGTTCATCTTGTGAACCCAAATGCTATTTTCAGATTGTTAGGCTAATATTTTTGATACCTAAATAAATTCAGTAGCTATGATTTTTATTGAGGAATCCTAATAATTGCAGGCTGTGACCAAACCTGTTGTTACTTCAATATACATCACTAATTATACTTGTGCTTTTTGTATAGCTCAATTTTTCTCCCACCCTCACCCCCATTTAACAAGGAGACATTTACTTAAACTGAGCCAAGAACAGGTTCCGTTGTAATAATAGAGCCCTAAGAAAGGCAGCAGGTTGTATAGTTAACTCCTTGTGGGCAAAATCCCTGCCCTAAAACTATGCAACCTACTACCTCTTCCTAGGAGCCCATTCATTCTTCTGCAGTTCTTCTATCTGGCAGCTGCACTGTGAACCAACCTGTTAGCTTAGGCCACATTCATAATATTTAGTTCTTGAAATTTAGACCAATTATTCCTTCCATTCATACTGTTCTTAAGACTAAATACTTATACTTGTTAAATTTATAATTTTTCAAAAATGTTATAAAGGAAACGATTCAATCAAGCACAGTAGGCAATATTATAAACATTATCTGACAGCACCTAATTAATAAATCTATTACAGAGAATATCCTCCATGAAAAGTTAATACTGGAGCAATGAAGAAAAAATTGCCTTACCTTAACACCAATTTTTCTTGTGTATTTATTGAGTTTGTTGCTCCACATTCTCCAGAAAATTCTAACACTAAAACTGCATTGCATTCTTGATTTTACTGACCCATGAATAAATTTTGAGTAGTCAGTTATACTAATGGTATGTAGATTACCAGTTTGAAAACCTAACTCATCCCTTGTTAATTAATCATTTGTAGGGCAAAAAGTATCTGTGCAAAATCACAGAAATTTAATCAAATAGTACTAAGATTTTTCCAAGTTTTCTTTGGAAAATAAGACACCAAAGAGGGTTCTGTGTTTTCTTCTCTTTGGCCTTTATAAAACTGGACTAGAAAACAGAACAAATGCTCCTTTTAAATTTGTACCAACGTGCTTGAAATTCTGGGCTTTTGTCCTACAGCAAGGAATAGCAAATGTTCTTGGTCATTCTGGGCATGTGAAGATTTGGGGAAGATTGGAGAACAGGGCGATCTTTATAATTTCTGTGAACTGACAAATCTCACAGTACCGTCAAATGAAAGAGCAAGACGTATTCTACCTGGAGGGCCCACAGACATTTTCAGAAGATTCAGTACCTCCTCTCTGATTAAAAGCTGAGTTAGTTCTCAAACAAACGGAAATAAGAGTCAGAACAGTACTAGAGTTCATTTATTCTTCAAGAGATTAGAAACAAGAAGCTTATGTTGGGCTTGGTCATACGACACAGGTCAAAGGAATGGCAGCAAGTATCTATACTTTGGAGTTGGAAGACAGTTGCAACTGGGCTCCTCTTGGCCTTCAGTTCTTGAGATTTATAAAGTTTGCAAAAACAAATATCCAACAAACATCCAATAATCAAGTAATGTAAGTCTTGTTTAGATCAAAGCTCTTCAAGTTAGATGGGTAGAGAAAATGATAACTTGTCTACAAGTCAATAAGTATAAAACACAAGTGTAAAGTAAATATAAATAACATACACATGTGAAAAATTAACCAAGGCCCTTAACAATGCAACATTCTTCTGGAACACTACTTTCAATACAAGAAAATGCAGTGGCAATAAGTTTTTACATTACCAAGACCTCCAAAGCATTATATTTTCTGAGAATCCAAATATGAACTGGTAATGGAATCTGCGAACAATCAAGTATTCACAGATAAATGGATAAACTTGCCTGTAAAAGGAATCAAACTTTGTGGTTATACCTCAGTTTTTAAAAAACAGAAATGGAACAAGAAAGAAGCCCAAGTGAAATATACTAGGCTCAAAACACTTAGTTCTATATAAATAAGGAATAATTTAATATTTGTTTTGCTAGTAATACAAATAACATGATAGTAGCATGGGAGAGCAATCATAATGAACAAATATCTATGCAACCATTCAGTACTGTAATAGCTTGTCCACTCCATGACCTAAAGTCAATCTTGAAAAAGATTTATAAAAATTTATAAAATTTATAAAACACGTAAAAGAGACTAATACAGTACTTGCTGTATAAAAATCAATTTTCAGAGCTAGAAACTATCTCAGAGATAGCCTAAATGTAATCCATTTTCCCAATGAAAATGAAATGTGCCTATGTCAGGAGAACTGGGTTGAAAAACCCAGGTCTCCCTCACAACCTTGCTAGTTGACGTTTCCATTATATCAAACAACAAACTATGAATTTAAGAGTTTAAGAAACGAATACAAAGGATATCAAGTTTCAAAATAAGAATTGTAAGCTATAAATGACCACATGAAAATATGTTCTAAGTCACTAACAATAAGAGAAATGCAAGGTAAAATAGGTTTCAAACAACTCACACCCAGCAAACTGGCAAAAATGGGAGACAAGCATATTTATACTCTTGGAAACAAAGTATATTTCAATCTGGAATTAGGCAATAAAAGTGACTACAATATCCTCATCCTTTAAATCAGTGATGTCAGAATTTACTGGGACATTCCCCATAGAAATCAGAGAAAAATAAAGTCCATATATTTCAGAATATTCGTAGCGGCACTGTTAGTAAAAACTGCAAACTAGAAGAGTTTGGGTTGAGGAATGTTCAGGAAAACTATGGCATATATATGGCATGTAACAGATTATCACTTAAATATTTTATGTAATATTTTGGTATGTTATGAAACTACGCATATGAGGAATTCAAAGGAACACAGGAAGGTCTCTACAATTGGACACAGGCAGAAATAACCAAAACAGAAAGACAATTTAAATGAAGTTCACTAAAACAATAGCTAA